GGCCAAGTATACTGAAAAAAATCTGCATATAAGTGGACCTGTGCAGTTCAAACTTGTGTTATTCAAAGGTCAACTGTAAGCATTCATTCTCTTAAGCCACTAAATTTTGGGGGTACTTACAGTAACGATAGGTAACTAACACAATTACCCAGTAGGAGGAGCCATTTTATGTTGCCATTTCTCAGGTTATTTTTATTCAGTCAACAAATATTTACTGCCTAACATGCCAGACATTATTAAAATGAGAGTTGGACTAAATGCTCCTTCCAGAAATCACATTTTGATGTTCATGGATAATCACAGAATCCGTCAGACTATTCTTTCAATAGAATCTGCAGTTTGCTAGACCGAAGGCTCACTTTTAGAGAAAAAGTCCAAACACTACCTGAGACCCATACCATTAATTGGATGACCCAACGATCATTCCCTTATCACTTGTTGCTTTCACACTAACACACTGGAAACACTGCTAATTGGTTTTTTCAGCTTCCCTTGCCATCAGTGGTGGCCATGTAACATAATGCTGGTCAATGAGACAGAAATAGTCATTTGTTTAAAGGGTTTCCAGGAAATATTTTGATAAAATAGGCAAATAATGCTGCCACCACTCTTCCCTCTTTCTTCCTGCCTTGGCTATGGCCCAATGCCTGGAGCTGTGGCAGCCATCTTGTAACCATGAGGAAAAGGCCTAGGGAATTAAGACATATCGGGCCTTGACACAGCTGAGCTGCCAAATCAATACCAGTAGCTCCCTGCCTCCAGAGATGTCGTACTTCCTATTTAAGTCATAAAAGTTACACTTTGTATTTCTTATAGCCAAATTCAGTCTGAATTGATACAACTGATACAATACCATAGAAAGTGATTGATTTCAAAAGAAATAAGGAAGAGTTTTCCCACTAATATATGTCCTTTGCTCTGAATTCCATGAATTGTTGAGATATATTTTTCTTAACATCAGCACCAACAACAAAAAAGCCTCTCCCTGCCTTCCTAAACAATAGGCAATAGTGTATTCATAAGACAACATTTCTTGAGTGCTCACCATGAAAAAAGCACTGTTCTAAGTGTTTTAGAAGTATTAATTCATTTAATCTTCATAATTCCTTGAGGTCAATACTATTATTTTCTACATTTTACAGATGAGGAAACATAGAAGTTAAGGAAACTTGCAAGGTTTCATAACTAGTTAAACAGTAAAGCTGAAACTTAAACTAAAATCAGGTAGTTTCTTTTTTGTTTTGTTTTAAAGTTTTTATTAAGAGAATTTCCAAACATAAAAAGTAGAATAGTTACAATGAACTTTCATATACTCATCAACCAGTTTCAACAACAATCAAGATTTTGCCTTTCTTATCCCTCTCTGCATTTTCTTTTCCTGAAGTGTGTTAAAGACTCCCTGGACATCATATAATTTCACCTATAAATATTTCAGTGTATCTCTAGCAGATAAGGACTGTTAAAAATACCATTATCACACCTAACACAATTAAAATTAATAATTCTAATACTTGGTATATGTTCAATTCCCACCCCCTCCCCCATCTCAAAAAACTTTGGATTGTTTAATCAGGTCCAAACAAGGTCTACTTACTGCATTCACTGATATATAAGATCATTTAGTTTTTACCTTCACCATTTTGCTTCCTTACCTGACATAATCAGATACAGAAATAAACACAAGAAAAAGTGGCCTCCTCCAACTGCCCCCCCCCCCAAAATGCACAGGATCTTCCACATTTTTAATTTAAGCTCCTTTAATATTTTCTGCTTCTGTAACTTTAAATTTTATGTATAGCCAGCAGGTGGAAAAGAGCTGGGCTAAGCAATAGAGTAAGATGTTAGATACATGAGTTTGGATGGAGGGAAAAGTAACAGTAACAGCTGTCATCATATCTAACACTCACTGAGTTTCTGCCTTAAACTATGCACTACTCTGGTAGGTATCAAGTCATCTTTTTTCTTTCTTTCTTTCTTTCTTGGCCATGCTGCGCAGCATGTAGGATCTTAGTTCCCCGACCGGGGATCGAACCTGCGCCCCCTGCAGTGGAAGTGCGGAGTCTTAACCCCTGGACCACCAGGGAAGTCCCACCATGTCATCTCATGTATATAAAGATCTAGGGTTGTTTCCCCAAGGGTCGGTTAGGGCTGATTTTCAAATGACCACTCAAATCAACGGAGACACAAGTATCCACGAATTAAGAGAAAACCAAAGGCATCCTCAGATGAACCTTGGGGAAATGTAACCAAAGCTCTTTAATAGAAGGACGAAAAGTTAAATAGCTATGCTTTATGGAACACTTCCTCTGTGCCAGACACTGCACTGAATGCTTTACAACCATCATCTCTAATCTTCACACAACTCTAAGAAGTAATTCCTACCGTTAGCTTTTGGTTCCCTCTGTCCCCTGGCCACACCTGCTGGGAGGTGAGAGGAGGGGATGCAAAGGCTGGGAGTAACTAGATAAAATCTCTCAGGCACCAGTCCCATCCTCTATGTTCTATACATATGAAATAATTGAACTCTTGGCTCAGAGGCAAAAGATGAAGGACGGCAATAGCAGTAGTCAGAGTAACGTCAGTTGCACTGGTTCCCAAGCCCCAGTTCCCACACTGATGCCTGAACATGCAGTGAGGAACTCTGAGCCTTGGAAACGCAGCTCTTTGATAAGAGGGCTGCTACTAAATCTGCCCTGGAGAGAGACAAATTTCATTAGTATCCTGGAAAGCAAGCAAATCTGCCCTCTACTTTGGAGAAAGACACTATCTCTATCTTGTAAGGCTTTTCATTACACAAGTATCCTTTGAAAGACAGTCTAGAATGCAAATCTGCAGATGCCTTTGCTCAGAAGATGTGCAGAAATGCGAGATACCCATGGAGGATTATCTCCCAACAAACAAATGATCCAGAAAGGTTTTCACAGGGTCATTCCAGCATTCCCAGGTAAGTATGAATGTAGGAACTGAAATTAGGATTGTACGTATTACTGAGCTTCTATTTACTTAATCATTTGGAAAGCAATCATAGAATGTTCATAGCCTTAGGTGTCAAAAATGATTCACCTATTTTGAAGAAAATATAGTATGGAAAAACATTTATAAATATTAGGTGTCCTTCAGGGCCTGACACATAGAAAGACTTCACAGAACCCACTTATATCCACCACCATCTATATTTAGTCATCGACATCCTATCACTGCACTCTCGAACATTCAGTCATTAAAGTCATCAAATGTGCTTTCTGAGAATAAAGTTATTAATGATATTGATGATGAAGTTTATGAATAAATGTGTCAATACTCTAACTACTAAGCTGCTGAAAAAGCATTATAGACTAGGGGCAACTGGTTTAGTTCAATCATCAGTCTGTTAGATTAATGCCTAAATAACCCTATTAGGTTCCTCTTTACATATGAGGAAACCAGGACTCCCACAGATTAATTAGACCCCCTCAGATCACACAGCAGGTTGACGGCAAGAACCACATCTGTCTCATTCCACATGTAATCCCAAAATGTATCCACAGGATTCTTTTGATCACATTTCGACACATCAAAGTAGTCTTGGAAGCCAGGAACTTTCATAGGTTCTTAGTAAAAGAACTGGATTTAGGGTCTGAGCCAATAAAATAACACTATTTTTTTTCTAAAATAAACACTCTCCAGCCAGAAATTGAGACCTGAAAATACCTTTTCCCAAGTGGAATGGGAAAATATAAGCTATGATGTTTGTAAAAGCTATTCAATGATGAACTAGCCTCTGGGTAATCCTAAATCTCTTTTGGTAGTTCCCTGAATGTTATGAGGTTAATTATAACTTGGGAATGATACCTATAGTCCTCAGTCATTTTTCTAGTGCCAACAAGAGCCCACAAAAATTATTGAAGCCACATCACATATGTTAAGAAACAAAGTTCAACTGACTAAATTCGAAGATCTAATTGAATTTATTCAAGGATTCTTTTCTCACTAGTGCTGACTAGGAAATCCTAGATTGATTGGCTTAAAATTCCACAATTGGGAAAGACTGAAACTGCAATTAGGTATAAAATCTTCATGCGGCTTAGCACAAGTGACTCCATTTGAGGCTTGGTGTTTCTTTTTAACACATTTATGAGGAAAAAAACAACAGGATTTATTAATTAATAGGAATCTCCATCCTTTGAATTTTTAAACTACCTTTAAACATACAGAAAACATAGGAAATAAATCCTAATCATGTTTAACATAGGAAATAAATAGGAAAACATAGGAAATAAATCCTAATTATGATATTATAAATATCACAGTGTAAGAGCCCCATAGTCTGATACAAAATATCTTTCTAACAATGTATGCAAATTCCAGTGTGAGAAAGTCAAACGATAGGATTACACAGGAATGAAAGGGAGCAGAACTTGCCACCGAAAATATGCCTCTTTGGGATAAGGATTATTTTAAGAAGGCTGTTTTTTTTCCCAGCAGACGTGCGAAAAGCTCTGAAAACCAAGTGGAAGTTACCCTTTAGTAAGCACAATTTACAGTTATAAGGGAAATCTCCATATGTAAGGGTGTCTCCCTCTTAGCACCGGGATGAGGAGGATGACTAGATCTTTAGAAACTCTTATCAATGGAGAAAGCTTGGACTTAAATGTGCATAACATCCTTACCTTTGTTTACTGTGCTTTGCCTTGAAAACCTGGCTCTCCCCTTGCCCCACGTCTTTTGTCTTTAGCTGCAGATGGTATCGAAGGTGGTGGCATGGGCCACCTGCGGGAGTGGCTCAGCCTTCCTGGTTCTCTCATGTATACAAGAGGCATACATGATATTAAACTTCTGTTTGTTTTTCTCCCATTAATCTGTCTTTTATTACAGGTCTCAGCCAAGAACCTAGAAGGGTGAAAGGGAAATTATTTTCCCCCCCTTACAAGAGGATGTAATTCCCAGAGATATTAAAAAATATTAGAAAAACTCAAAACACATCGATCATTTTAACACACTCTTCAATAGTATATTTTCACCATTTTGGAGATGTTTATTATTTTTATTCATTTTCTTCACAATTAACGAAGTCTACATGTCTAAGTCTGATGAACGTCTAAATAAAGTTAAAGATTATCAGCTTTCAGCATGCTTAAAAATCTATATTGTGTTTGAGATGCAGGCTTCTCTCACTGACATTTTTATAAAATAATAAAGAAAAATGTAATAAAACATTCAAATAATGGTACAAGCACTGCTGTGCAAAGATGGAGATGCTTCCAAACCTGACTGTTGATGGTACCGAACAAAACTTGGGTCCACTGGCCCGCAAGCAGTAAAGCCAATCTCCTGACGCCAGGCTGTGGTGAAGGGAAGGGCAACGTTTATCACAGGGTACCAAGAAAGGAGTTCAGGACAGTTGGTGCTGAAAAAACCCGAACTCTCCGCAGGGTTTCAGCAAAGCATTTTCAAAGGGCAGGTGAAGGAGGGGCGTCCCAGGGTATGTGATTAGCTCATGCACAGTTCTCTGATTCCTAGTTGATGGCGAAGTAACAGGGCGGTGTCACAGGGGTTTGACAGTATCAGTCCTTAGGCTCCGGTAGGTCTGGGACCACGTGCTCCGTATCATTGAGTAGTTAATTTCTTCAATTTGGTGGTGGTTTTAGCACCTGTAAAACAACTTAGGAGATATGCATCAGATACTATTATCTAGGTACTTCAGAGAGGAGCTACAGCAGAGGATGGGGGGCGGGGGGTGGGGGTGGTGGTCTGTCCCGGGAAGGCTCCATAGGGTCCTGCTCGATTATGCTGAATGACAGGTAGCCCCAATATGTGATGGCTTGAAATCCTCATTCATCACCTGTTGTATGAAAATTTCAATTTGGCTTAGGAAAGGCAGTTTAAAGATTTCCCAAAGAATAATGGATTAATATGTAGGATGGATAAAACTCAAATTACAAGGGTCTGCACAGCCCCAAGGTAAAATACTTCTGAGCTTCCCAGGTATGATGGTAGCAAGCTTGCACTGATTCTCCATATCCATTACTCCTGCAGACTGTCCACTCATGCACAGCACATTTCCATTCAGAGTAGCCTTGGAAGCTGAGCAAAGCAATTAGTGACACCCTGTTCTCTGGGAGAAATTCTGAGGGCTGTAGGGGAGATGAGCCTGACTGTGAAACTGACAGAGTCAGAGAGGAAGTGGGTGGGGGTGAGATTGTAACTGCCTGCTCCAATAGCCACTCCTATTTCAGAAAGAGCAGATCTGAGCCACACCTTTTCTGCAGGAAAACCATTTTCTGAGGCATTTAGGATTATAGATACCAGAAGTTTGGCTAAGGGCTGTACCCATCAACTCCCCCACCCAGGTTAAAATCTGAGTCAGAAACTGTGACAATCCCTACTTGGTCCATAAACCTAACCAGGGGGAAGAGCATCATCTTCACTGTTCGAGGGGTAGGGGGGCAACTGCCACCCCAAAATGCGTCTCTTTGGCATGAGGATTAATTTAGATTATTTTTTAAGAAACAAAAGACTCAGGAAGTCTTTCTACCTCCCCCTAAAGAATGTAAAGGGCCTGTTCCTGGCATAGACCTATCACCAGAGATATCTTCAAACAATTAGAGCTAGATGTGGTCGGGGAAGCTCTTAAGAGATCAGAGTCCACTGTGTGTCCCACTGTCTCTGCCTGGCCCAGCAAATATTTGTTACCAAACACTTGCTTTTCCAGCTCCATGTGAATTGCCTCTCTCCCTTCTGAAGTCCCAAACCACTACCCTCAACATTCTCTTTTGTCTTGAGCTAAAGATGGTATTTAAGGTGAGGGTTTCAACTATTCTGGCGAGTGACTCAGTTTTCCTGGGTCTCTCCCATGTATACACGTTATTAAACTTTTGATTTTCTCCTGTTAATCTTTCTCATGTCAAGTTAATTCTTAGACCAGTCACAAGAACCTAGAAGGGTGGAGGAAAATTTCTTCTTCCCCAGCACAGGCTAGGTCTTTCTTTCAAGGATACACTGGCAGGAAGATAAAAAAAAAAAGAACTGAACATGGAAAGAGCAATAAAAATATTTTGCAGCATTAAAGATTCATCACATAGCAGCTATTTTTCAAATGACCATGGTACAGGTACTCTGCTTGGCACTTTACATACTCATCTAATTTAATTTTCAGACCCTCCTCATAAAACAGAAATTATTTCCATTCTGGAGGTGAGGAAACTGAAGTGTGGGAAGGATAGCTAAATCTCCCAAAGTCATGTGACTGGTGGGTGGCAATGTTAGGGGAACCACTGACCAAAACCGCCCGCGCTGGCCAGGCACCATAGTAACCACTTGCACGAGTTATCTTACAACAGGAGGTCCTCATAAGGAACGCGGAACTAACAAGCTACCACCAACCGGAAGAATTTGGGGAAGGTCAAAAGGAGAGAGGAGACGCCAGTCCATCTGTCCTACCAATCCTTCTCGCTGGAATGCATCTTGGCTGAGTGATGCATGTGCCACCAGGAAGGACCCTGAGTCAGAATGACTGGCCAGAGACAACCCGGAAACTAATCTCATCACCATAAAACCCGAGACTGCGAGCCACGTGGCAGAGCAGTCCTCCTGGGTTCTCTTGCCCTCCTGCTCTCCACCCGGGAGCCCCTTCCCAATAAAGTCTCTTGCTTTTTCAATTCATTTTCGAGTGTTAGACAAGAGCCTACTCTCGGGCCCTGGAAGGGGTCCCCCTTCCTGCAACAGCAAGGCTGAGACTCAAATAAAATTGAGTCTCTGCTCCTAATCACAACCCCAAACCATCTTCCAGGGAAATATGGATCTGTGATTCTCAATACTTTCTCACCCTTACTCCATTATAAAAACAAATCACGGAGGGCGGGGCGGGGCGGGGGGGTTTCCTGTTACAATGCAGCTTCTAATTCAGGAAATTTGGAGTGAAGGCCAAAAATCTGCATTTCTAACAAGCTCCCTGGGAACGGTCATGCTGCTGGAGCTCCGACCACAGTTTGAGTAGCAAACTGCGAAACATGGGACTGTGGGAAAACAGGAGAAAACTGGGCTTTCAAAAAATAGAGAAGAAAATGCGAACTCTCTGAAGTAGGCAATTCAAGGTGAAATGAAAGCACAAAAGGCCGGAATGAAAATAGAAGGCTCTGAGAAGGCAAGCGCCAAGTGAGAGCCGAAAACAATTGAAAAGACTCCAAGGAAACTACCAAGGCAGAAGTGTCCACCGGAGCTAACAAAGGGGTGGAATCTACATTAGAGAACAAACAAATCAAAAATGTGTAAGGCCAACTTGAACAGCACTCCAAAAATGACAAGGAAAAAGAATAGACGGATGAAAATGTAAGAGATTATAGCTATGGGGACAAAGACGCAAGCTTCTGCAAATAGGCATTGCAAAGGGGAACCAGGACAACGGGGGCAAACAGTAAACGTGAAGATACAGGAGAAGAAAACATTACTACTTAAGATACTAAGACATAACACTACTTCTGAATGACGATGGGTCGGACATCTTCTGTGGCAGACACTGTTGGTGTCCCACCCAGTCTCACCTCCACCCACTTCAGAGTCCACCTGTAGCTAAAGTGGGTGGTCCTAGACCCCCTGGCAGCTCCCTGCCTCAAGCACCCATGTCCCTCTCTGTGACCAAGGAAGCGCGTTCGGCCTGTGCACTGGGCAGCCCAGTCTCAACGCCTCGGTCAAATCAATGAAGGCGGGACAGGAGTCAGTGGCTAAATGCTCCAGCTTCCGCTTCACAGGCTGGGACAATTCTGAGGAGTCTCCTACATTGTCTTCCAATAGGCCCAGCAGGATTGAGCCCCAGTTGCCCACAGCTGTAACATACACATTAACTTGTTTCTCAGGTTTTCTCTCTTCCTTACCTCATTCCCCACTCCTTCACTCGTGCATCCTGGGGTCACCTCCCAATTGAGTGATCGGTTCCCAAGTCCTTGTCTCAGGGTATGCTTTTGGGGAAACAGAAGACATGACCCAAAGATGTCAGATGAAAATGCCGAACTATATTCAAAAGGAAAGAAATCCCATATTTAATGGTGTGTTATTTAAAGGATCAAGTGCTCCCACCTGCCCACCATTTTGAATTCAGGATGGAGGAGGCAATGATGTGGGTGACATATAAGCCTTCCCACATCCCATCCCTTACACCACTTCCCCCTCTTTGGGCTCCACCGTACAAGGTTTATAATACCCAGAATGTTCTAGAGCATGATTCCTGGTCTCCCACTCTTATCTGTAAACTCCTCACAAACTAGAACTGTGTTTTATTAGCTTTGTATCCCAATCACCTAACACAGTACCTTGTACAGAGATGGGTCTCGATAACTTTGTTAAGTAAATGCTGGATGAATCACTGGGTCCAAATACCGCTCTGCCACTAACAAGATGTGTGACCTTGGACAACTCACTTAACCAGTCTGAATCATAGTTACATCAATCTGTAATATGACAGAACTCAACTCTATGTTCTCTGAGGTCAAGTTACTATATGAAATCAGATAAGTGAAATTTCTCCCTACTCTCCCATCTCTTAAGCCTGATTAATGAAGCATAAGGCTGGCTACACTAATAAAGGAGCATTCAAATCTTTTCGAACCACATTAATCTATAACTAAGATATATCCTAAAATCCTAGCATTTAGCAACCTCTTTGGGGGCCGAAGTAAAACTGTACTGGTGATTATTACGTACTCTCAATGACCAAGGCATTGTCTAGACCTATGTTGTCCAATATGGCAACTGTCAGTCCCATATGGCTATGGGGCACTTGAAATGTGCCTAGTCCAAAATGAGATGTGAAGTAAGTATAAGATACACACTGGCTTTCAAACATTTAATACCAAAAAAATGAAGAAGAAGAATGTAAAATATCTCAACAATTATGTTATATTGATTACGTGTTAAATGATCATATTTTGGATATATTGGGCCAAATATATTATTAAAATTAATTTTTACCTATTTCTTTTTACTTTTTTAAGGTAGCTATGAGAACATTTAGCATGAAGAAAGTTTAGTGACTCATTCTATTTCTACTGGGCGGTGCTGCTCTAGAAGCTATCAGAGATAGAAAGATGAGTGGCTCAGTCTCTGACTTTTAAGATGACTTTAGTATAGTGGAGAGAGAAATGGAGAGGAGGAATAGATCCAGAAGTAACCAATACAAGACAGAGCGACTGTGAGACAAAAGAATAGAGAGACAAAGTGCTACCCGAGTGAAGGGGAGGGAATCATTCCATCGCGGGGTTTTATTTGAAGGGGGATTCTGGGGGGGGGGGGGGGGGGGGGGGGGGCCGTGGATTTCATACACAGAAAATCACCCTGCTGTGTTTCGGCATCATTTTTCTCACAGAGATTTGGGTATTATCACAATAGGCCTTTGCTAACAGTTGCAGAGGAACCAGAGAAAACCAACCGAAACCTGGACTCAAAGATATTATTGTCCTTAAAATCCTCTGAGAATAAGAAAAAAATCTTGTTTTTATTTCCTGCCTGCGGTGTTAAAATCTATGCACAGATGGGATGATACAAATTCTCCAAAATAAAGCACTACGGCTCGACTGTCCCTATACCTCTGTAAAAAGACAAATTGTTGCTCACAATGCAATCTCTTGAATTGGCTAAATGGTCTTTCAAATAAACATATTGAGAGATGGGTCTCCCGGGTGCTTATAAATTTCTCCTGTCCCTTAATGAATGTTATCAGTGTGACTTCATGACAACTGGATGGAAAATGAAAAACGTGATGTGGAGCAGAGTTGGCTGGGATGGCTTTAATAGACATCCACTTTGTAATTCCAGATTCACAACGGTCTTACGCAATAGCAAGGGAGACCTACAGGCAGAAAACAGAATTCTACCTTTAACAATCCAATAGCTAACATGTAAAAGAATGAAATGAGAACACTCCCTAACACCATACGCAAAAATAAACTCAAAATGGATTAAAGACCTACATGTAAGACGGATACTATAAAACTCCTAGAGGAAAACACAGGCAGAACACTCTTTGACATAAATCGCAGCAATATCTTTTTGGATCCACCTCCTAGAGTAATGGAAATAAAAACAAACACAAACAAATGGGGCCTAATGGGAGCAGCCTAAATGCCCATCGACAGATGAACGGATAAAGAAGATGTGGTACATATATACAATGGAATATTACTCAGCCACAAAGAAGAATGAAAAAATGCCATTTGCAGCAACATGGATGGACCTAGAGATGATCATACTGAGTGAAGTAAGTCAGAGAAAGACAAATATATGATATCACTTACATGTGGAATCTAAAAAAAAAAAAAGATACAAATGAACTTATACACAGTAGAAACAGACCCACAGACATAGAAAACAAAGTTATGATTACCAAAGGAGAAAAGGGGATAGGGGGAGGGATAAATTAGGAGTTTGGGATTAATATATACACGTTACTATATGTAAAATAGATAACCAACAAGTACCTACTATAGAGCACCAGGAACTATACTCAATATTTTGTAATAACCTCAAAGGAAAAGAATCTGAAAAAGAATATATGTGTGTATATATATGCGTATACATATGTGTTTATATATATATATGTATAAAACTGTATCACTTTGCTGCACACCTGAAACTAACACAACATTGTAAATCAACTATACCCCAATAAAAAAAAAATTCAAACAAACAAAAGAACAACAATCCAATAGCTATTCCTTCTTTTCCTTCCTAACAGAATTCTGCTTTTGCTGGAAGAGGCAATATGCCCAGCTAAAAACTTCTTTCCCCAGCCTCTCTTGGAGACAGGATAACCAGATAACACAGTTGAGGCCAATGAAGTGTAGTAGGAAGTTGAGCGGGGCTCCTAAGGGAGCTCCTGCACCACGACAGACTCAGACACGGCATCCTCCACCGTGCACTCTCTGCTCTGCCCTTCTTCATGCCTGCAATGTGGGCACAGTCATTGGGGGGCGGGGAGTAGCTGATTACGGCCCCCCAAGCAGCAATCTCACACTGAGGATGGCTGAGGAAGGAGCTGGAGCCTGGAGCCTGGGAGTCATTATGGAGCCACCAGGCCTAGAATGTCCAACTCCAGACTCTTTGTTATGTGAAAAATATTAAATAACTACTTGTTTAAGCCACTTCGGTTGTGTACCCAACCAACGATTACAGCTTCTTTGTTTGGTTGGTGATTTTCACCAGATGGGTTGATGTGTGTGATCTACCAACCCAACATTAATGGCAATGGCCGTGTCCATCATTACTGATTAATGGAACATGTAACCTAAAAAAAAAAACCCATAAGCTGCAAGAAAGGTTATACTGGGCGTGACCTGTGGTTTTTCTGGTCCAGTGTTGTCACAGACTGTATTCACTAACACATCCTAAGAGCCTGAGGACGATGATAAACTTGTATTGAGTACTTGCTATTGACCAGGCACTGTTTTCAATGTATTATAGATATTATGCATTTAATCCCTGGATGGATTCTGTGGCAAACGTAGTTATTTTTCCCATGATACAGATGAGGGGAAGGGAGGGCATACGGAATTAAATGATGTGCCCCGAATCCCAACTACTAAGTGGTAGATGCATCAGAATTCAAATCCATGTCAGCTGATGCTAGAGCACACCCCTCTACCACCTATATTTGATTGCCTGCGGCTCACAAAGAGCCCGAAAGGCTTCCCTCAATGATTCTTTAAATGCCTAGGGTAACCATTCTTTTTTTTAAATTGAAGTATACTTGACTTTCTATATTATATTAGTTTCAGGTATACAATGTACATTATACCCTATATAAAATTATTATAAAATATCGACTATATTCCTTGTGGACCATTCTCTCTCTCTCTCTCTCTCTTTTTTAAAGGGCTTCAAATGCTTGGCTTATTTATTTACTTATTTGTTTATTTTTGGCTGTGTTGGGTCTTCGTTTCTGTGCGAGGGCTTTCTCTAGTTGCGGCAAGCGGGGGGCCTCTCTTCATTGCGGTGCGCGGGCCTAGCACTATCGCGGCCTCTCTTGTTGCGGAGCACAGGCTCCAGACGCGCAGGCTCAGTAGTTGTGGCTCACGGGCCTGGTTGCTCCGCGGCATGTGGGATCTTCCCAGACCGGGGCTCGAACCCGTGTCCCCTGCGTTAGCAGGCAGATTCTCAACCACTGCGCCACCAGGGAAGCCCTCTCTCTCTCTTTTTAAAAACACCTACCTAATGTTTTAATGTCTTGAACCTATTTACAATTTTATTCAATGCTACTGATACTTCTCCTGGCTTCTCATGGTATGTTTCAAAAGCATCACCACCACCACAAGCAGGGTCACCCAGGATGTATCTCCAGCTGATGGTGGGTTAGAGATAAAATAACGACACATACTCTTTGGTTTGGAACAGGCCAGTTTATATATCCACTGTCCCAGCATCTTGTCAAGTTTAGCATTTGTTCTGGATTTTTCATTTTTAATGAAGTGACACTATTTTTTAACAGCTTTATTGAGATATCTTTGTATATATTTAAAATATATAACATATAAAATTGTATATATTTAAGGTGTCCAATATGATGTTTTGATATACCTCTATCTTGTGAAAAGATCACCACATCAAGCTAATTAACAAATCCATCATCTCTGCAGAGTTATCACTGTGCGTGTGTGGTGAGAAGATTTAAGATCTATCCTTCTAGCAAATTTCAAGTATACAATACAGTACTGTTAACTATCCTCACCGTTCTGTACGTCAGATCTCTAGAATTTACTCACCTTGGGACTTCCCTGGTTGCACAGTGGTTAAGAATCTGCCTGCCAATGCAGGGGACACGGATTCGAGCCCTGGTCCGGGATGATCCCAAACGCCATGGAGCAACTAAGCCCGTACGCCGCAACGACTGAGCCTGCGCTCTAGAGCCCACGAGCCACAACTACTGAGCCTGTGTGCCACAACTGCTGAAGCCCATGCCCCTAGAGCCCGTGCTCTGCAACGAGAAGCCACCGCAATGAGAAGGCCACGTACCGCAACAAACAGTAGCCCCCGCTCGCCGCAACTAGAGAAAGCCCGCGCGCAGCCAAAAATAAATAAATAAAAATAAAATAAAAATTGGCTATTATTTAAAAAAAAGAATTTATTCCCCTTGCATAACTGAAACTTTGTACCCTTTGACCAATATCGCCCCATTTCTCCCTTCCCTCATGTCCTGGCAACCATCATTCTACACTCTCCTTCTGCTATGGCCTCCTGCAGTAGTGTGCGAGACCCAAAGGCAGCCAATAGAATTCACCTTTTAACAAGTGATTAAGTATTAAACATGGCTACTAATAAGCAATCGCTTCTTTTCCAGTCTTTTCCAGATACAGATTTATCTCCACCACCCTTTCAAGGACAGCATGCAGAGCACCACTTGATAAAATGAAGTGCTCTCAGACTAGAGCATCTAAGGACAGGACATCAGTTACCTGTTACTGTCTAACAAACCACCCCAAAACTTCATGACTTAAAACAACCACTGTTTTCTTTGCTCATGAGTCTATGTGCCAGCAGCTTGGCCTGGTAGCTCAAATATCACTAAATGATCTAGACAGTGCTTATCAAACATTCTGGTCTTGGGATCCCTTGAGGACCACAAAGAGCTTTCATTTAACTGGATTATAGTTATAGATATTCACCATATTAGAAAACAGAATGTTTTTTTAAACATGAATACATAAGCACACATTTTCTATTAACCATCAGAGCAGTGATGTCATCACACATCACACAACCTCTGGAAAATTCAACTACGCAATTGTGAGCGAAGGAGAGCAAAGAAGGCACTTAGGATTATCCCCATCTTAGGATAAGATGTCTTAGAATTACTATGCAAATACTTTTGACCTCAAGGACCCCCTGAAAGGGCCTCAGGGACCACCAAGAGTCATCAGACCACACTTTGAGAACTGCTGGCCTAAGATGATCTCGTGCACATGTCTGAAAATTGGTACCAGCTGACCCCCAGGCTTCTCTCTCATTATACACTCTCCCATCCCCGCCCCCAGCCACGGTGATCTCAGGGCAGCAAAGACAGTAAAAGAGGAAGCTACAAAGGGTCTTGACGTCTCGATCAGCAATCCCTCAAGGGTGCCTCCACTACTCTCTATTGGTCAAAACAAACCACGGGGCTACCCCAGGTTCAAAGGGAAAAGAAGTAGGACCCAGCTCTCAGTGGTAGAAGTGCAAAGATACGGCCTTCCTGGCAAACAATCTCCCTCGGACAGCTAACCCCTTGTAGAACGAGGTGGTGGTAGGGCAAATAGTTGACGCTGCTGACTCAGCTGGTCACATGAGCCATCTGGTAGTGCATGGTCTGTTATCGGCCTGAGAAACATACAAACGAGTCAGGTCACCACTAAGTGGCGCTGGTGGGAACACAAGACAATTTAGGATAAGACTATGCGAAATACGTGTGGAAAATAAAGGCTGGGGCTTCCCTGGTGGCGCAGTGGTTGAGAGTCCGCCGGCCGATGCAGGGGACGCGGGTTCGTGCCCCGGTCCGGGAAGATCCCACGTGCGGCGGAGCGGCTGGGCCCGTGAGCCATGATGGCCGCTGAGCCTGCGCGTCCGGAGCCTGTGCTCCGCAACCGGGAGAGGCCGCAACAGTGAGAGGCCCGCGTACCGCAAAAAAAGAAAAAAAAAAAAAAAGAAAAGAAAGGCTGGACAACAATCCTGTCGTAGAGTATACGGAGATTAGTCTGAATGTTCTTTTTATAGTGCTCTTGTCATTTATCGTATGAGGTAAATCATAAACATTTATTTTATTGTTTGGCAAACCTTTTTTTACTTTGTAGCTAACAAAAAAGGTTTGATGAAATATTAAGTACTGAATTTCCTTTCCTCAAGCAAGGTGTTGACACATTTATAATTTGCACAAAATATTTGTCAACATTTACCATCTACAGTGAGGGTATCCTTATGATATCATTTTCCACCTGAAAACCAGAAGACCAAACCTACCAAGGAGGCCTCAGCCTCTCTTCAAAATTTGCCATTTTAAAACCTCTGTAGCTAAAGATAATTTAGCACAAGCAGCTGCCGAAGGTCTGAGGGCCTAGCACTCTGCAGCAAGGCTGCTCATTTCGACCAACTGACAACTCTTCATTTGCTCATTTTCAATCCCAAACGTTCTGGTGCACATAACATCACAGGTAATGTGTCAAGTCAATTAGCAGAAAAGAGCTTCCCAATTAAATGAGGCCAGATTTATATCAATGGTTTCCGACGTTTCAAATGGAAAGTCAGCTAATACCAATGACAATTTTTCCATCAGCTTCATGAAAACAAAGCGAAGTTCAGTTCATTCTGTTGGAAGTGAAGCAGCTGATGCTGTGAACACTAGCACACATTCAGTTACAAAGCTCAACACGGAAGGTACAAGTACTTGCTTTTACGTGAAATACATACTTCTTACTTCGTGGAGGGCAGCGATACGGTACAAACAATGGCACTAGTCCATTAAGAAACCTATGGAAAAAACGGTTCTTGGAACTGGTTTGCTGCATACATTATTCATGATCTGATGGTGCTCAAACAAGCAGGAGTAGTCCACGCATCAAAATAGAAGCTGTAGCTGTCAAAATTTCAAATGTGTCTATAAATACACAAAGCAAATGAACTTCAAAATTTTTCGACAAAGACAGCGTTAAATGCAAATAATAATGATAATAACGAGCACAGCAATACACGCTTTCTTTCTTTGCTACCCTCATCCACCCGATTTTAGAAATGTTTGAGCTTCTGAGTCTTCCCACGGCATAGGACTTTTGCGAGTGTGCAAAGAGTTCTCTAACTTTTGGTTACATTTTTCCAAAATCTACTGAAAATCTTTAGTCAAGTATTCAACAATGGAGAACCAAAATATGTGGCTTTCAACAAACTGTAGTAATTGAAATGAAGCCTGTAAACAGAAGTCATTAAAACATATCCATACAGGTTAAAACAGTTATCACCCTCATCTAAGCAGAAATTGCTTTCATGTATTTCCAAAATAATTGTCTAATAGAGTTTAAATGATATCTAGTGTTAAATGACAATTCGTTCACATACACACACAAAAAATCATATCCATGCAGATGCAAGAGAGAAAGCAAACAATATAAATGATGAGAACTCAGATCATGTACATGATTTAACTTTGAGAGTCTATTACTGTGTTTTGGGATATCTTGTTTAGGAAGAGCCTTTAGATGGCGCTCCTCTCATTAACTGGGTTAATCCATATATTCTTCACTAAATGAATTCAAATTGGTAAAGCTTACAATTTTGCAGCATCTAAATTTGGTGACATACAAAAGAATTAAAAAGAGACAATTTTTTGGATAAGTTTTGTCTGTAAAATATTTCTTGAACATACCTGGAAGCAAAAGGATAGTACCTGTAAAAAATTAGTTGGGCTTAAATGCTTACACATTTCAATATCCACAAACATAGAGATGAGAGGATCCCCCTTTAGCAGAATTTGTTCAGAATCTATAAAGAGGGTAAATTCGCAACTAAAAATATTATGGTCTAAAGAGAAAGAGTTGATTGATCTGTCAACAACTTCAAATTATCAACCACAAAAATGCAACTTTAAAGAAAATTACAGCCAATTTTATGAAAAAATGGTTAAAAACAATAAAACCATATTAAAACACGTTCTTTAGGAATTTCCTGGTGGCGCAATGGTTAAGAATCCGCCTGCCAATGCAGGGGACATGGGTTCGAGCCCTGGTCCGGGAAGATCTCACATGCCGCAGAGCAACTAAGCCTGTGCGCCACCACTACTGAGCCTGCGCTCTAGAGCCCGTGAGCCACAACTGCTGAGCCCGCGCACCTAGATTCCACGCTCAGCAACGAGAAGCCACCGCCATGAGAAGCCCGCACACCGCAACGAAGAGTAGCCCCCGCTCACCACAACTAGAGAAAGCCCGCGCGCAGCAATAAAGACCCAGCGCAGCCATTAAATAAATAAATAAATTTACCAAAAAAATACATTCTTTAGATAAACATCAGTGACAGTTTCAATGCAGAAAGACAGCTAAGAAACTAGTAAAAATGTATAACTTACAAACATTAACTCATTATGTTATATACCTGAAAGTAATATAATGTTATATGTCAGTTATACCTCAACTTTTTAATGTGTAAATATATACAATAATTGCTCTGCTTCTGTTATTCTTTAATCTCAAAGTTATCAATGTAAAAATGTTTTCATTTTGCTGTAATGTATACACATATATATTACTTTTATTTTGAAAGATTTTATTTCTAATAAAACTATTTTTAGATCCATCAGTATAACAAAACCAAATCATTTGTCAATAAATAAATATTTATTTTGTTGGTCAATAAATAAATATTTATTTTAGACCGTCCCCCTTTCACTTTGAAAGCGTCCTGGTTTGGACTAACTTATATGGTGACCCTAGTTATAATCGTATGGTTTATGTTTCCGCAGGGCTATCTAATATTGGGTTAAATTGTATTAGAATAAGAGAAGCTTTGATGCTATCATAAGAGGGGCTGAAGAGACGCTCAATTTTCATTCAGCATAAAAGATCTTTTTTTTTCTCTGTCTTTTTCGCCTGATAGCTTCGGGGAGCAGGATTGGATGGTATATCATCCTGTTGGTTATATTTCTCATTGCTTCCTACTATATTCCATCTTCATGATGCTCAAGGAGGGGTTCTTACTACAGAGTCCCCAAGGGCTCTTCTTGTAAAGGTTAGGATACTTGCCCTAGGCCAGCACAGTGCCCCTTTCCTGAGTGGTCACACCCTGCATGACCCACTCAACCTTATTTGGATCAAGTTCTGAACCAGAAAAGCCACTGGAGAAAGCCAATTGTTATTCCCTTACAGCCCTTCTCTTCTTTCTTTCTCTTTCCTCTCCTCACCCCCACCACTTTTAATAAGTTACCACAGTAAGTAAAAAAGCAATAAAACCCTTCCGTCATTGAATTATAAATAGGAAAGTGTCCTTCTTCATTAATGAATGGCTTTTTGAACTGAAGTGTTTTACATTCAGTTTGGTTACTATTTTCGTTGGTCCTTATTGACGCCCCACTTCAGTTATTTCCCAGCATGTGGGCAGCTGCTGCATATTTTGAAAATGGACTGGCTCAGATCACTACAATGGGAGAGGTCAAGTGTGCCTACATACTTCTGTCGTTTCTATTTTTACAACTGTAATGATCATCACAATTCCCGTCTCCGTTGTTTGTCCATGTTTCTGTTGCTTCTGTTCTAGAGTGTTTTCATTCTCTACCCTGTGCGTGAGTCAGGGTGATGCTGGTCGCCCAGAAATCTCAGTGGTCTAAACAATCAAAACTGGTTGCTCTCACAAATCCAGCCCAGTCAGCTGGAGGTTGGGGATGCGGGTTGGGTCTCTGTTCCACAGGGTCTTCCAGAGACCCAGGCTGACTAAGACTTTGCAACATTCAAGGAAGTTGTAAAGAGTCAAACCTGAAACTGAACCACATAGCTTCCACCTACATTCCATGGACCAGCGCTCAGTCACTCCTAACTGTACCTAACTGCAACGGAAGCTGGGAAATTAAGTCCAGCTGTGGGCCTAGGAAGACAGAAAACAAGTGTGGCGAAGAGCCCACTAGCGTTTGCCACAAACCAATGAGACATAGTCACTGTAGTTATTAGAACCTCAAAACAGGCTGAAGGAAAGCTTTCTGAAGAAAAAAACCTTAAAGTATAAGCTCACTGCCAAATGCACGTTATGACTGCTTGTTAAATGATGAAAATTGCCTTTAATTACCAGGGGAACTGGTAATTCATTTTAAAAAGTAGCAACATAACTTGTTTAGGGACTAAAAAAATTCGTCTCTGAAGAGAACGTGTGATTCAAATCGACTCCCCTTTGTCTTACTATTGATACTTTTGAGTATTTGACTGCCCCATATGCCTTGACTGCCCATTTGAAAACAACTGGCAAAGCTACAGCCCTATGCCTCAGCCCTGCTGAACCTCTGGAACAAATTTTACACACAATTACACAGTGTTGAAATCTGGTGCTCTTTGGAATTGCTCGTCTACAACATCATAGCAGAATGGAATTCTCTAACATAAGTCTGAAACTGCTTATCACTGCTACTGCAGTGATAATTTTGCAAAATCCATTTGTATTTTGCAAGTGTGTTGCAATCGTTGCAATCCTTCACCGTCTTTGACAGAATTTCCATTCTCATTTTACAAGTGAGGTAGCAAATGACGCTCAAAGTTCTCGTTTTGCAGTCCTGAACTGGGCCCCCTCTCCTGTATCTTTATCTGTAGATAGATGATAAGTAGATAGACAGATAGATAGATAATCTGCATCTGTAGTTTCATCATCCTTCTTGTTAATTTATTTGTGAACATGTTTCATCTACAAGTGATAAAAAAAAAAATTGACCACATCTGCTTTCATGAATCTCTGCCTAATAAATGACAATCACATTGGTAGAGCTTACTTCCGAAATTGTCTTCATAAAAGCATTTACATGATGGCAGAGGAAAATGGTATAATCCAAACTAGATTATTGTTTTAGCCAAAAAAATATTCATTTTACCTGTGTTAGCTCATTTGTTCCTTCATTTTTTTTCATTTCTCCATTCATTCCTTCAGTCAATCATTCACAAATATGGTTCCATCATTTTAGTCAACTGAAAAACAGCAACATCTGTGGGGTTCTTTTCAGAGGACACATTCTGAGCAACATGAACAGGGTTCAAGTTCCACAGACACAAAACTACAAGCAGAGAACTCTTGTTACTAAGTTGTATTCATGACATATTTGTACGTGCTGCACGGATATCCAGTTCACACATTCATTTATTTTTTCCAGCTGTACTGAGGTATAATTTTAAAAGATGGTAACATATTTACAGTGTATAATGTCATGATTTGATATACACATATATTGTGAAATGATTAACATGATCAAGTTAATTAACACATCTGTTATCTTCCATGGTTACTTTTTTCCCCTTTTTTGAGAATGCTAAGATCTACTCTTTTAGCAGAGTTCAAGCATACGATACAGAATTATTTAATATAGTCACCATGCTGTACATTATAGCCTCAGAATTTATTCATCTTATGATTTAAAGTTTGTACCCCCTTTGACCAGTATCTCCCAACCCACAGCCTCTGGCAACCACAGTTGAACTCTCTGTTATTCTGCGAGTTTTTATTTATTTATTATTTATTTTTAGATTCCACATGTGATAGCATACAGTGTTTGTCTTTCTGTCTGGTTTGTTTCACTTAGTATAATGCCCTCCAGTTTCATCACTGTTGTTGCAAGTGGCAGATTTTCCTTCTTTTTCATGGATGAGTAATAATATTCCATTGTATATATACATCACATTTTCTTTATCTACTTAGCCATCAGTGGACACTTAGGTTGGTTCCATAGCTTGGCTACTGTAAATAATGCTGCAATGAACATGGGGGCACAGATATCTCTTCAAGATAGTGGTTTCCTTTCCCTTTTATTTATACCCATAAGTGGGATTACTGGACCGTGTGCTAGCTCTATTTTTCTCAGGAGCCTCCTTATGTTTTCCACAGTGACTGCACCAGTTTACATTCTCACCACCAAAGCACAAGGGTTCCCTTTTCTCTACATACTCGCCAGCACTTGTTACTTCCTGTCTTTTTGATAGGTGACATCCTTATTTATTCATTTATGCATCTGTTCTTCACTTACCTATTGAGCAGGTACCAGTGCTGGGCACTGTCTTAGATGCTGAGGATCCCAAGATGGATCCCAAGACAGACAAAGTCTATCCCTCATGGAACTTCCATTCCTGTAGAGAAGACACTCAATAAGCAGATATATGGATGGATAGATGATATAATATTTATAGAATTATCATATACATACTCATCGTTAACAACTGTAGATAACAATGATATATATTATATCATGGGTAAAGGAAATTTGTGACTTTTCCTGTCTCGACAACAGCCCTATATAAACACCCACATTCTACCTCTGCCCTTTTAGCATTCAGCACTTCAGGAACATTCTGGCGACTGGTGAACAAAACGGCTACAGCATAATAAAAGGTAACAAAGTTCATGAATGACTGGGATACACATACAAGTGTTGCGTTTTGCCATTTTTAAATTATATTATTTTAGAAAATAACACTCCAGGCCCCCAAGTTGTTGCTGGTTGAGCTGTTTCTCTTCTTCCCGTCACATGAACACAAATATATAGAATTCTAAAGGCCCTGAGAGATCATCTTCTCTCATCACATTATTTTACAAATGAGGAGAGTTAGGTTCAGAAACATGAAGCAATTTGCCCAAGATTACAGAAGTAGTTGGGGGAAGAGCTGGACTGGATTTCTGTTCTAGTTTTACATCCCTGGGAGAGCACAATAATAACAATCTATTTTATAATACTAATGAGAAGGCAGACTCAGCTATATAAAGTGCGAATTTGAGGTTGTAAACTAGAAAATTGAAAAGTCTATTGAAAGTCGTTTTCTTTTCTTTCTCTCCCTGCCTCTCTTAGGGAATGAGACAGATTTTCTTCACAAAGTTGAATGACTTTCTGACATGGTTGGGAAACTGAATCGGAGCCGAAAATTGAGAAAACAACACACTGGAGAAAAAGAAATTAAATTCAGGATTGTCCCCCTAAACACAAGCCAACTGGAAGGCACTTTTTCAGAAAAATATACCAGGAGTCCTGAAACGCTCACGCCCTTTGACTCAGAAATGCACTTTTAGGAATTGGTCCTAAGGAGATAATCAGAGATCCAACTAAAGATTTATATTCAAGGATACTCATCACTGTGTTGTTCATGACGGCAATATATACATATTTTTAATACACATTTATATATTTATATAACAGACTAAACATCCAACAAACAAAGCCGTGAGTAAGTAAAGTATGGTATGGATTTTTCCCTGATTATTAATGATGTGAGAGAAAATGCTCACAATGTAAAGTTACATCAGAGATTCTCAACTGGGGATGACCTGCCTACCAAGGGACACTTGGCAATGTCTGGAGTCATTGCTGGGCACCACGACTGTGGGGAGGGGCACTACTGGCAGCTAGTGGGTAGAGGCCAGGGAAGCTGCTAAACATCCTATAATACACAGGCAACCCTCTCCCCCTACAACAAAGGATTATCCTGTCAATAGTGCCACAGTTGAGAAACTCTGTGTCAGATGGATAAAACACGCACCATGTTGATTTATCTCAAGCTTTAAGAGGATAAAACAAAGACATCACTGGCTGATAAAATTATGAATGAGGTTTATTTTCTTTACACTTTACTTTCCTAAATATTCTACCATGAACATGTATTGTTCATAGAGTCAATTAAAAAATTGCAAATAATCCTTCAAAAGCTCTCTGCAGTCTCTCACATCAAATCAAACTCCTCACCTCCACCCTCAGGATCATGCATAACTTGGCCCTGCCTGACCTCTAGAAACCTTCTTCCCCACTTTTCATCAAGAACTCTCCACTTTAGACAGATTTCTCCTGCACCGCCAACCTACCCTTCTCATTTGCTCATCTCCTTGATCATCTGTGCCACGGGGTAACTGCCCACCTCACGGGATTGTTCCGAGGATCAAATGAGATAAAATGTGCAGAAGGATTTTATAATGGTCGAGTCCACAAATGGTAGTTTGCACTCTGTCACCATGCCCACCTTCTCTCCAGCTCAACTAAACCCATCCATGATTCAGCTCCTAACCCATGAATCTCTTTTCCTGTGATGTCTGTCCTGACTTCCCCCAGGCTGTTTTGGGGAACCGTGAACCCTACAACTTTGCCACCCTAGTAAAAGAAAGGTTGAAGTTGAAGCATAGTTTCCCAAAGTATACTCCTTGGAACGCTAGTCTCATATCAGTCGAGGTTATGTCAGGAAATACATGGTACTTCAAATTGGGCAATTTGAGGGAAGTTTAACAATGGGCTATTCACAGAGATGAGGACAGAGTGTGGGGAAACCACAAGAGATAGAGCAGGGCCCCCAGATCTAGTAACAGCAGGGAGCTGTGACCACCCCTAGGGGAAAGAGGGTGGAACGATTTACTGAACCCATAACCAAGAAGGAAAGAGTCCTAGGGAGAAGGTTCCAGATCGGAGCTGGGAGTTCTGTCCACAGACACAGCCAAATATAAGTGACCCAGCAGAGCGTGATCCAGAGAATAAACACTGTAACCTGACTCTCCTTCCTTCCTCTAATCACCTGCAGGTAGGCCTTACTGGCCAAACCAACCCAGAAGTTGAGGTGTGTATCAGTCAGGGTTCTCCAGAAAAACAGAATCAATACTGAGAAAGAGAGAGAGATTAACTGTAAGGAATTGGCTCATGTGATTGGGGTTGGGGTGGGAGGCTGAGAGTGAAATCTTGAACTAGAATTTCTTCTTCAGGAAACCTCAGTTTTTGCTCTTAAGGCCTTCAACTGATTGGGTGAGGCCCACCCACATTACAGAGGGTAATCTGCTTTACTTAAAGTGCACTGATTGTACAGGTTAGCCACATCTACGAAATATCTTCAGAGCAACATCTAGATTCACTGTAACCATGACAGAGGTCAGCCTCCCCTGTGAGCACACAGCAGAGGGAGGGAGGGCTGAGGGCAGACCTGGAGGAGCAAAGAGGCGACAGAAGCTCTCCAGCACAGTTTTAAAGGCCATCTTGTGAGCAACAGTCTTCCATGGGAAAATAAATTTGAGAAACACTGAGTTAAACAAAGTTAAACCAATTATATCCCTGGTAAAATGAAGCGGGGAAGCACTGTGAACAAGAGAGGTGGGATGTGCAAAGGCTCACAGTTAATAAGCGGGGATGAACGTACACTGCGGGTGTCAATGGTCTTATGAAGCTGGAGTAGGATGCCCAAGTGGAGGAGGGCAGGCAGGGGGCCATTAAGTGGAAGACTTTACAGGCTGAGGACTTCAGCGTATATAATTAGGAGGTTTAATTTTATTCAAGAGGTAATTGAGAGGTATTCTGGGCTCCTTAGAATGGGAGTGACCTAATCCAAATAAAAGCCAAAGAAAGTATTCATGCTGCTATGTGTAGGATGCATTGGAATAAAGACAAGAAACTAAGAAGACAGAAAGGAGGCCGCTGATACACTGGAATCTAAGGTGGCCGTTCATTATTATGGGATTATGGTGGGAATGAAAAGGAAGCAGGAGAGCCAGAAAAGCTTCCAAAGAAAAAAATGCTTAGCGGCAGGCTTGAAGTAGAAAGGAAAGGAGGGAGATACTTCTAAAGGTGGAAAATAACTGCAATGTTATTTCATCATCATTGAAGGTCTAGGATACTCACGCAGTCCAGCCACCTCCAATCGGCAACCAGTTCTCTCATCCCCAACAAAAGTTAGAAGATGCTTTATGTGAGAGGTCAAAATAACACAACCCCCATCCACTCCATTGTGTCACCGGAGAGCCACTTCTTATAATAATAATATAATTGAGGCTAAAATTGCAGAAGCTTCTTGAGGAAAAAGCTCAGAAAAGAATAAACTCATAACGGGAAATAATCAGTGTATCTGAAGAAAACTGTGGAAGGACTGTGTTACCAGATGCAATAAGAGAGTGTCTTTCATGATCGCAATCGATGAGGACCTCCACACTCCAGCAGGCAAAGAATCAGGAACCAGGGAAGAAAGGCCATGTGCATGTTTTCCACAAAATATTAGTCTCTGGTGCCGGCACCTGAGCTTTTCATGGAAATGCATAAAGCTGTGCCCCATTCCCCATCACAGCCTCCAAGGAGGACACAGGTAAAGCCTCACTCTCTCCAGCCACCCAACCTGCCACAGTGGACAGGGAAGACCCAGGGAAGGAGGTTTTGGCATATACCATGGCCATTGTTCTGAGAGTTGGATGATACAGACCCTGGCTCTGCCACTCGACTTGAGCAAACCCCTTCACCTCTGCTTCCTCGCCTTTACGACGGAAATAACTTAGAGTGATAACTCGATTACATAAAATAATGTAAATAAAAACATTTCATGGACTGAAAACTATAATCCGGTTTATGGTATGACTGTTCATTGGGATCCTTTTGCTATCAGCAGTCACCCCGACATCCACTGGCCCCACCTTGAGTAGAAAGGGGCATTTGGAGCTTGGGACTTGGGTGCACTGAAGACACAGAGAGACGCCATCCACAAACGGATTCACTAGGGTCCCCAATGAGTGGGAGAAAAGTACCAAGAGCCCAGAACTCGGTTTCCTCCCTCCCTTCTTCCTACCTGGTTGCCATGGAAACCCCTAGTCATACTTCCAAAGATTCATTTGACCTGCCATTTTGATGTGATAGAGACAGAAAAATAGGCTTTAATATAGTTAGAATTAAAGACTTGTGTTAATTGCTTCTACAGAATTTTTCTGCCATTTAATTAAGGAAAAAGCAAACAGCAGTAATTTTCCCCAAAGGTCAGTGAACAAGAACATAGAGGTAATTTCTCTTCTCTCAGAATGGCTTTAACTTGCCTGATAAAATACCATCTCCCCTGAGTAAGAAGTTACTGTTTTCCCAGAAGACGTGGCAGAAAATTAGAAAATGTCAACTGTGATGACAGTTCCCATTACAGAGGACCTGAGATTAAGAAGAAACCATGAGCTGTGTCCTCTTGCCACATCAACCATTAAAGATTAGAAGAGGGACTTCCCTGGTGGTCCAGTGGTTAAGACTCCATGCTCCCAATGCAGGGGGCCCCGGGTTCGATCCCTGGTCAGGGAACTAGATCTGCATGCCGCAACTAACAAGTCCGCGTGCCGCAACTAAAGATCCCACGTGCCGCAACTAAAG